CACACACCACTCCCTGAATACATGCATTACTACACAGCAGTGATATTAGATCTCATTTCCTCAAAATAATCATTATTAAAAGATGAATCCTAAACTTTACAGAGCGTCATATGGGTCAAGTGGTTCAGAGGGTGTTGGAGACAGGAAGCAGCCATGTGTGTTTTCATACACCATCTGGTTTATAGCGCTCTTTCTGCCTCGGAAGTATCAATGTGATTAGATTAGAGATGTGATATGTGTCTGGGTGGGGTGCGCTGCGGGCATCATAAACGAAGACCAACCTGTTGCCAAACCTTTTGGCTCAGAGCTTCAAGATGGCTGGAAGATAATCTGTGTTAATATAAAGAGGAGACACTGACATTAAATGATACTGCATAACACGCAAAATTCCTCGTAGGAACATTTTAATTATTATCCAAATGCATGAAAAGGAGACACATTAAGTATCAAAGCTGGCCTCTATCAAAAGGACCTTGAATCATTAACAGCATTTTAATGTTGGAACTTGTCCAGGAGTCAAGTTTTACAATTGTATACACTCCATGATAGCAATATTTAGCCTCTAGCAATGCAACATATGTTATGAGATTACAAAATGTAAATATTGGCTACCAATGATGGGTTATTGGTCAAACAAGATAAAAATACTTCCAGTAGGCTACCTGTAATTCCAGTACCTGAAACATTGTATTTCAAGTTTAATTCTTCAATATTTTAACATAAAACTTACAAGACATTTAAGTCTGTGATCCTCTCATTGTGTGTTATGTAGTTTATTCAAACTCATTGTTTAGCTATTTGACAACTTTACTGTTGGGGTTCGCACACTCTTTGCAGCTAGAAAAACAGATAGTTAGGAGTTGTTGGAGACCAAAGCAAAGGTAAAAGGAGAGAGAATTTTAAGCAGCATACACATGCACATATATGCATTAGTTAATGCATTAGTGAGTCCTATATGAAATCTAACATATTAAATATGTTTGAAAAAGGTTGTTCATTTTACCAGCAGCTGATGGTATGCAAAATAATACCAGGAAAATGTATAGCAATGTCAAAGCTTGTCTTGACAACCAGGGAATGTTTTTTTAATATTGAGTTTTTTAAATTAAATTCTGCAATTCTGTCTCTAATCTTCTTTTGATTGTTTTGTAAAGAATACTTTTGGTGTCATATTCAGATGATAGGATTAGACTATGGACAATAATACACTTACCAATATAGACTGAGGTCAGCAAGGAAGGTCTTATTCCTTCTCTTGTGGGAATTGGCAACATAATAACATGTAATGTAATTAAGACTGAAATGAAGAGATCTAGTGTATTTGTTGAGGTGTCAGCTTGGTTGGATTGGATCCATAATCATCAAAGACCTGGTTGGCCTTCTTTGCCAAAAAAAGAGGGACTTTCAACGTCTTGTTTTTCCCCGTTTCTTTTCAATTACGAAACAAGATGTTTCAGCAGTATTAAACTCCAAAAGGACTCAGGGGCTAAAGCGAAGAGTTGGAAAACATGAACCGTTCATGCAAGCTCCTTGTCTTTCGAAATGTGAAAAAATGAAATACTGTGTTAATACTTGTTTGTTTGTTTGTTTGCTTGTTTGTTTGGATGGTGATTGCAAAGTAAATACACAGACAAGCTTGAACAATTGTAATTCAATAGTCCGAAACATTTGATGACTTTATCCAACTGTAACTTTGTTCATGTTCAAACAAAACATTTGCATTTGTCAAGCTGTTTCTTGCTGTTGGTCTTCTTTGGAAACTGTCATTAACAAGGTAATGCTAAACTGAATACATTTGAAGCTTAGTTGATTTAGATGATGTGAAGATTAGTGAAATAAATCTAAATTGATGGGCAAAGGAATGATCAAATGTCGGAAACCAAAGCTTGCAATTTGCATATTAGTTTGAACAGGTTCCTTTTGAGGCCTTAGAGCTGTGTCAGACAAACTCTTAACATATACTTATACATTTCAAATATATTTGACTTTTTTTTTTACATCAACACTACATTTAGCAAATTCATATTTGTACCACTCTAGTTTTCTTTTGTTAGAAAGTGCTTATTGTTCTGTATGAATGTTTTGTGTCAAAGAACACATGCCCTGACAGACACATACTCACAAATACACAATTTTTTTAAAAATGCACTGTGTTATTGATATGCCAAAAACTAACAAACATCAATATTTCTGATTAGAATTCTTTTTTGAGCCCCCTTATATTTGTAATTTCCCTCTATTAACAGGTGAAAAAAAAACCCATCTCAAATGATCCTCTGCACACTTCCACCAATGCATGTCATGTCTGTCAATTATATATATAATACATTATATATAACAATACACACAAGCCCTTGTATGTGAGATTGGCCTCACATCTGTTGTTGTTTTTTTTGCAGGATCAGGCAAGTTTCTGCAGCACTATCTGTTTTACAGGCAGCGTAATGCTTTGGCACGCTGCCCAGCTGTTGAAGTGGATCATCAGGAAATAGATCTCAAACTGTTCTTGAGAGGAAAAACGTTACAGTTAAATGCATTACTGTTAATAAACCTCTCTGTCAAGAGGAAGTCGTTTAATAGGGCTTATTTATATTGTATTTCTGAAATTAGATGTGTTTAATAATCCGCTGCAGGTGTTTTGTTGAATGCCTGATGTAATGCAACCTGAAAGTGAAGTTCATTTCACTAACTGACTAATACAAGTTTTCCTTCCTCATTATCCCCCAAAACAGTTGAAAGAGCTGTCATAACTAAAGTCGAGACATTACTCACTTCATATTATTTTTCTGACATTTATCCACTCAACAAAGCTTAGTTGATATTGTTTATTGACTTTGCTAAAACAGCTCAGGTCAGTCTTTAACATCTGTTTACAGACACCTGCACAAGCATAACTCATTTCAAGATCACAGTGGACCGATTGTATTTGACATCTAGACTGTTGCTTCTTGTCGCTCTTTGTGTTCAAGCCATGAGAATTTATTATACAGGCAAGAACGGGGTCAGACACTTGTTGAAGAAACTGCCATGCAAATGTTGTTGATCGACTGGATGTGAGCAAAGCCAAAAGCAAACAGACGTTATCTTCTCACATATATCTTTGATTAGTTTTATATAAGTAAAATGCGGTACACTTATTTTAATTACAAGGCGTCAAGCCATCATTTATACATTTGTGATTGTAAGCTTATCACACAAAAATGCACTAATGTTATTTCTGATTGAAAGAGACACACATGGGTTCACTCGCGTACATACACTATGTCATATTAAATTGATGAAAGGAGGTTGTCATCGTTTGATTTGGTGTGTCTCCAAACACTTGGGTGCAAAGAAGCCTTGACGCAGTTTGTGCACACCCTCTCTTCATCTCACAATTAGCCCATTCAGACTCTGCGGCTAACCATATCAAACCCACATCAAACCCACAGCTCCTGCATCAAAGGTAAAAGAAAAAAAAACATTTCCAGGAACTGAAAAAGGAAAATAAACTTTAGGATTTGGTGCAGTGATAACAGAACACTGACCATTTACGGACTGAATTAGAATCAGGATTAGAAGGACAAGATTAGATATGCAGTGGTCTTTAAGTACTTTTATTGTTGTGGGTTACCACAGTTTAGCTAATTACAGGCTATTCTTTATTAAAGCCTTTTCACAAACACTTCTGACAGACACATTGTTCAAACAGCCCTAACACACACAAAGATCTTCTCTAAAGGAAACAGTTTTTCCATTCAAATGCTTCATACAAACAGAATAACACAGCTATATTTTGTGGTTTAGATACTCTTAATAAAGGCAATTCATCTTGCGGGAAATTGTAAGATAATATCAGTGGTGAGATGCGTTGCATATGACGGTTTTTCTTTGTGGAAAGGATTTGATGTTTAAAACTACTTGCAGTGATATAGATCTCAATATGCACCTGTTTTTTGTTATTGTTATAGTAGGTAATGAAATCACCCATAGTACTGAAATTATGCTGAGAATTACGATGTAATATAGCCGTAATTACATAAAGTTAAATGGTGATAAATCTAAGTCGTATGGCAAATTCTCACAGTATCCCAAAAACTATGTGTCACAGCTTTAATAAAGATAAAACACGCATTTGTGCTTTTGGCTTTTGCAGTATTGCAAAACATATGGAAAGTGGATTTCTTCCACGATGAGAAATCATTACAACTTTATCTGCTGGTAAAGTGAGCCTTGAGTTAACATATTTGATATGATAAATTAATGATAATGTGTATGAGCATTTGTTTACAAAGTCATACTCAATAGCCTACCAGTTAGAAGCTATGCTAGCACCATCACCTTAGCATAGCTAACGCTAACCCTGGATGAATCCAAAATGAGTTAATATTTACAATGACTAAACTCCGCTAATAATATGTTGTTGATAAATTGTAAACTGTCCAAAGAAAGCCAGGTTTTATTGCAGTAAATGTAAGCAAAAATATCCACTATATTAAATGGATAGCCACACATTAGCACCACATTTGTTTGTTTGGTTATAATATGTAAATCTCTATAATGTGGAAACCCCTGATTTAGTGTTCAAAAATGTAGTGTAGCCGTTTTCATTAGCGCATGCTTTTTCAATGCAAAATATGAATCTGAGAAGTAAAAAGATTGTAAAAAAGTAAGGATGTCATAACAGAAATAGCTAAGCCTGAAATGTGTAATTGAATACTTAAAAAGTCTTCCAAGTTTCCAAGGTATGTCCTTTAGTCTCTTATCATTTTGAATGGTCTGTCACCTAAGTACTCAGGTCAACTAGTAGTGTTTGAGGAGGTCTAATGGCACACATGGCACTTCAGAGACACACACACACACACACACACACACACACACACACACACACACACACACACACACACACACACACACACACACACACACACACACACACACACACACACACACAAAGTAAACACTACAGCCCTATAAATATAAATTGCAGTCAATGGAGCTGGAATTCCTTTGCACTCCCTCACTTGTCCTCACGTCTTCTCACTTTGTACACACCCCCAGCAGGTGCTTTCACTTGAAGTTAACTGTGCAGTTGTGCTTTAGGCTGTGACTTTCAGTTTAGGTGTTATTTCACCAAAGAGCGTAGGAGGGCCTAAAGGCTGCAGGGGGCTCTGTGACAATTTTTTAGGGTGAAACAGTTTGAAGGGTGCCCACTGCCTGCTGCACCTCTGTCCTCAGGTGGTGCCCGGACGTCCAGTCGGAGTGAAGGTGACACAAGGCCACCCTTCATCCTTCTACAGAGCCAGAGCTGCCCTGTATCTGCGCTCATCCAGTCAAGACTTTGTCTCTGGCCATCAGAGCATCTCTGCCTCGGTAAGAAATGCTGCATTACATAATATCCTGCATTTGTGTCAAATAAAATGAAGGATCAATTTGCTTGTTCATAGCCTAACTTTTGATTGTCAGAGGAGCTAATATACTAGTTTCAGAAAAAAAACAAAAAAAACATGACATTTTATTTGCTGATTTTGAGTACACTTTGAGTACACGTTGAACATAACTGACTGTCAGGGGAATTAAAGGGCTCCTCTTAATGACAACAATATCTAGATAACTTTGTATCAATGATTATTGTATGTAACTTGTGTACACACGTGTATATTTGTCAGTTATACTGCATATAGTTAATCTGATTTATGGAGTTTTGGTAAGTCATAATTTATGGACATTTACTGACCTAAATGTGGAACATTTTATATGGCTTGACAATGCACGATAAGAAGAGATAAAGAGTTGATGAAGTTAGTATTTATTTTTGTTCATGCTCTGCATCTTTGCGATGCTTACCTGTTCTTCTAGTTTCTGTAAATGCATAATTAGCCATTGGCATGCCTGCAGGAATATACAAAACTAAAAGTGGTCAGATAAAAGGTGTCTGAGGGCGTTGTTGACGGTTTGATGCCCCAAACCAAAATGATAAGCTGACATTAAATAGAATTGAGACTGAAATTAAAAACAACAGCTGCTTCCCCAAAGACAAGATTTCTAATAAGAATAAATTACATACAGAGAAAAAAAACTGGACTTACTACTTTTCGAGGGTGCAGGTGTGACTTATTTATCATGTCGAGCTGATCTACATCATTACTTCACAGCACTGCACATTCATGAAAGGACAAAGATGAAAGCATCTTATTCATGGGGCCAACGGCTAAAAGCTGTGCTGACTCCTTATAGGGTCTGTACAATAAATCATTGGGGTTTGAAGTGGGTATTTTACTTAATTTGTACCTTTTATTTTAAGGCAATAATGTCCACAGAGCATTTAATATAGAACACTTTACTTTACTTTACTATAGAAGTAAACTTAAAGTAATCTTCTTTAAAAACATTTATACTTCGTCAATTGAATAAATATCTTTACAAAATGTACAGTCACTTGGCTATTTAATAAAGGTTTCTGATTTGTGCAATATCCTGCTAATGAGGATTATTTCTGATTAATCAGTGATCTCCAGTCTTTTAACTCCAACCTCTTGCCCAGCTCGCTTGGATCCTCGACTAAGTTAATATCAAAAAGTACCAAAACTGAAGCTAATGTTAACCCAAAAGAAACAACATTTCCAAGCAAACCATGCTTTACCATGCCGTGGCATAAGTATCTATCCTTCTTCTTCAAACTTCAACTGCTCCACATAGGTTCAAATGATAAATGTGCAACATATTGTGCTCTATTAACACATTAAGGCCAGACAAATCCAGCTGCACGAGCACTTGCCTTAGGCCTTATACTCCCTATCTTCACTATCTCTGCAAAACCAGTTGAAATGTTTTTAGAATCACTCTTTTTACGCCTCCAAATCTTCTGATCCAATCTCAATTGGATGAGGTTTATCATCTGCATCACCAACTGTATGAACTGAATTTGGACCAACAGCATGTTTTTACCATGGTTTAGTGTTTCCTAGGATACTGGCCGAATGCCAGTGCACCTGACCAACAACTGAAATGCATCCGCCATCGGCAGATGATAAAGTACAGAGAAAAAAATACATGAGGTGACACATTAAATGTAATCACAAAAGTTGTTTTACAGATAGAATTTGGACAGATGTAAAGTTCTGTAAACTATGAAGCAATCCAAACAGATCTTTAAATTGTCCACCTAAAAATAGACTGCTGAACGGGATTTATTATGTGAACAGAGCACCTGCACATGTCACTGCTGCCATAATAAAAGATCTAAGGCAGAAATCCACAGATCCTAATCACTTCCTCCAGCCTGCACACTTTCTTCCCAGAAAAAGTCAAATTGCAATAGTCTTTTTCCTTGTTCTCGGAAACAATGACTTCCTTGGTTGGTCCAAGTTCCCATGAGAAACAATAACATGGAGAAAAAAAAGTCCCTTTAACGCTCACACTGCAAACAGTCACGCCCGGTGAACCCACTCCTTTCTCCACTCCAGACTCAAACAATACGGACCTTTTTTTTGTGGTGAGTCGAGCCGCTGATGATCTTTTGGTTGCTATATGACAGATGATCTCAAATGTCACACATGACCGTTTCTTTTTTTTCAACTTGAATCCTTAAGGTTAAACACACTTTTAAAAGAGCAGCTTGTTGCTTGTTTTAATCTCTACTCATTAACTTTGATCCAAACACTTCAGGCAACTTCTGTCACACGACAGTGATAGATGGTCTATCAGGTTCATTTCCAGCAACGTTTAACCACTTTCACTTCAAGGGAGGGTTTGGTAAAGATATGTTAGACTACCAACTCTTTATCTCAATTTAAACCGTTGTCTCCTGGCATTACAAGTGTCTTATGTGAAGGAGGCCATAGATCAACTGTAGGTGAAATGATTGTTGTTGGAACATTGCAAGTTAAAATAAAGCTTACATTTTCCCCAAATAAAAATAAGACCCACAGGTCACTTATTGCTCATTTTTTATTTCTCACAAAACAATATAATTCCAATATAAAATCAAAGGTGGGGATAGAAGCCTCACCTCAAAGCATGTGGAATAAATGTGGTTCCCAGGGTGGCCGCCTGCAAGGAGGGAGTCCTTTTCCACCGGTGTCAAAGGCTGACTTTACTGAGTAAATGGAGCAAGCTCTAATGCTCCTGAAATGAATATCAGCGTCTTGACCAAACTCATTTAGAGATCAGTCAGGGTCTTAATCCCTCTCCACAGGGGTGTGTGTTTGTGTCCTTTTTCTTGTGCCCCCTCTTCCTTTTGGAAGAAGGTAATATGGCTAAATTTGCTTTGCTAATGGGCTTAGCGCAAGCTGTTACAGAGCAGAGTTGACACGAAGCAGCCGGGATGGAATACCAGTGGCTCTTAATCTGACTCCTGATGGAGTGAAAGGGAGGGTGGGTTATGGTTTACGAGAAATGTGGAGATAAAAGGAAGACCGGGGAGGAGGTTTTACAGTGGGGGGTCGAGGACCAAAGTCTGGGAGGGTAATCTTCTCTATGGGAGGAGAAGATAACTTCATTTAACATTGTGGAAGTTCAGTAAAAGAGAAAGGATTCCCTTTCTGAAACTTTAATGTGTCCATAAGAAAAAAGTAAAAGAATCATCTTAAATGTTTGAGATCAACTTAATGAATGAGTTTGAGCTCTTGAATCCAAGCTTTTCAAGAAGTACATCAAGGTGTGTGTTGCCAAAATGAATATGCAACTGACTGACCAAGTTTTTACTCTTTATACTACAATAAATGTATTTTTTAATTTTTCTTCATCTTGTCCATTTTCTTTATGAGAAAGGTTTGATGTCACCTGGATTAGTATTACACTTTACTTTCACAAATGACCTCATCTGACGGGTGTAGTCTATCATTTTGCTGAATTTATGAGACTTTTAATTTCTTTTTGTACAGGCAAATAAAGCCGCGACTCGTTGAACATGTGCTCTGCACACTTCCTTTAGGGTGGCATCAGCCACTGATAACCTGGTGTGTGACAGCAGTGTGCCGGCCCGTATGCCAGCTGTGGAGGGTACACAGTGTGTGTGCCATATGCAGGTTCAGCCTGAGATTACAACACTTGTGCTACAGCTGACGTCCATAAATGAACACTTATGATGGCAATTTCCTGTTAAGAACAAGCTCTCACAGCTATCAGTGGAGTCTTCATAAAACTACCAAAACACACGGTTTAGTGGACGCTCCTTTCCACATTATCTAACTTGATTAAAAACTCCAGCTGACAGAGGAGACAGAGGGCTGCAGAGACGGCACCTTGAAAGCCGAGGAGGCGGCAGAGCTGCCTCAGGTCTCAATACGAGTCACCTACCCCCAACACATCAGCCATTCTGGGCCACTGACCCACAAATAAGAGACTCAGTCAAATCCATTTTGCCCCCTGCCGGTCAGAGCTAAGTGTCTTTTAACTCTCTTGAGGGTCATTTCCCCAGTATTTCCATTCTCGGGGTTCTTATAGAACATCCTCACCTCAGCCTGCTCATATTAAAGAACAGGAACACTCGCCTGCAGCAGCTCTGATGGAGTTTATTACTAAAGGAAAATAAATGCTTGTTTAGCAGCCAGAGAATCGCAGAAGAGGAACATTTGGAGGAGGTATTTTCACTTTGACTTGAGGAGCTGATTTTTATCAAACTGATACTTAACTGTTAAAAGTGTAACGTTTGTAAGATAGACTTTTAGTTTATGAGCATATTTAAATTACACTTTTTTGTATTCTTCTTTTGCAATTCTGAGAGCATTCTTATAAACTTTGAGCTTTTAGCTCACAACTCTCAGGTTATATGCAAGCAACAGGTTATACATATTATGTTAAATGTGGATTTTATGTCTCCTTGTCTCCAGGTTCCAGTTATGTCAAATCCAGTGGGCAGTTTATCAGAAGGAACAGAGTACAGATCCCCGATTGGGATGACAGAGGACTCCCTGGCCATCCTGGAGCAAAACAGAGTCTCTGGAGAGCCCTGGGACATCGGGGAGACCAAACCATGCATGGAGGGCCAAGAACGTGGTGTCTATCTGTCCTGTTTCGACATGCTTCTCACTGAAGATGCCACTTGGCTGGTGAAAGTTTCTGAGGCTTCTCCAGCTATGGCTGTACCCATGTACCGCATGGAGCCCCAGGAGGAACCAGAGCAGTGCCCCGTCATCGACAGCCAGGAACACGGCCTCTCTTCTGGGCTGGAGGGGCAGGAGGAGGAGCGGTCCCTGGAGCAGGTGCAGAGCATGGTGGTGGGAGAAGTGCTAAAGGACATTGAAACAGCCTGCAAACTGCTCAACATCACCGCAGGTAGGCTGAATTGACCACACCTGCTACTGCAGTCCGTCATCTTCACGAGGGGCTTTACTGTTAAGACACATAACTGACAAAGAAAGAACATCTTTAACGCACACAAGATATTTTTCAAGGAAAAAAAACCCAAGCCAAGTAGAGGGATATTTATTCAACTTAAGCTACTGGACCAAAATCAACAGATATTTGTGTGGACAGCCCAGAGAACATGACAGATCTCTTAAATAATATCCTCTCTGACGCACAGGTGTGTTTGCCTGCTCCAGGATCTGTTTAATCCTGACCTTTGCATGCGATCTCCTGGATTCTAACAGTGATGTTTCTTTCCTGCCGGTCGATAGTGTACACAATCTTAAGGGCGAGGTCTCTCCTGCAAAAAGCAAACAGAGGAAGCATTATGTATTGTGAGACTTCGCCTGTCATAAAGCTATGAACTCAAGGCATCTGTTCAACTGATTAGAAATATGATGGCATATACAAGTGTGATTAACTTGTGCTTTCAGTAAATATATTCTGTATGAATGTCGTAACATAACACACAAAAAACAGGGAATTTATCTGACTTTACTCAATATGACTTGAACAAATAATCCGATACAATACAATAGGATAATACTGAATTGTTGGATCAATTTTCATTTTCAAGGACAAATATTTAAGACAAGAAACAAGGAAAAATACATTTAACATAGCATTAAAAGGAGCACTGATTTACTGCAGGGAGTTTTCTCAATGTTTTCTGTCCTTTTTATAGACCCCATAGAGTGGAACACAGGAAATGTCCAGAAGTGGCTGCTGTGGACTGAACATCTGTACAGGCTGCCCCACGCAGGGAAGGCCTTCATGGATCAGACAGGGAAGGATCTGTGTGCCATGAGCGAAGAGGAGTTCCGCCAGCGCTCCCCGCAGTGCGGAGACACGCTGCACGCTCACCTGGACATCTGGAAGTCAGGTGTGTGTGTGTGTGTGTGTGTGTGTGTGTGTGTGTGTGTGTGTGTGTGTGTGTGTGTGTGTGTGTGTGTGTGTGTGTGTGTGTGTGTGTGTGTGTGTGTGTGTCTGTGTGTGTGTGTGTGTGTGTGTGTGTGTGTGTGTGTGTGTGTGTGTGTGTGTGTGTGTGTGTGTGTGTGTGTGTGTGTGTGTGTGTGTGAGTCCATTTCCTTTATTTAACACAATATCATCAATTATGTTTTGCAGTCAGTACAATATATAACTCAAAGAGTAACTGGTGTAAGGATAACATTTATTCAAAGTATTTTTTTATTATGCATTTAAAGTAATTGTCTATATATCTTATCTTTTCAGCTGCCTGGATGAAAGAGAGGTGTTCAGATGGAGATATAAAAACTACAGGTTGGTCAAACTATATTTAACTGTAATGAATAAAACATGCATGAAATGTACACACATGTTTTATTACTTAAGAGTACCCTTTTACATTCTGTTTTATCCTATTGATATATATAAACGTTTCTCATTCCTGCAATTCACCTACAAATTAAACAAAGTAAATGTTGCATTGTTGGAGTAGACTTGTATTGCTAAAACGTAGCTTTTGTTCAACAGACATTAAACACTTGATAACGTTTGAGGTGGTTTTATGAGTAAATCTCTACACTGTGGCCTTTAATGTAAAATGTTTTCTTTATATCTCAGCTGGGGAGGATCTTTGGTCCGAGGCAGATTCCTCTTGTTCCGGTCAGCCCATCCATCTGTGGCAGTTCCTCAGAGAGCTGCTGCTGAAACCTCACAGCTACGGACGCTGCATCCGCTGGCTCAACAAGGAAAAAGGTACGTTTTATTACGTTACAGTATCAACAAGTATTTTTGACCACACCTCTTTAAAGGCAATTTAAACTACTTGGGCTTTACTCATTGCTGTGTCATTATAAGACACACGTTGGAAGGGAAAGGTGACAAAAACTAATATATTTATAATGGTTTATTGTACTTTAACTACATTCAGAGCCTAAACCTAACATGTTAAGAGCTTTCAACAGCTCACAATAATGCATTTAATGTTGTACTTTTCAACCAACACTTCTTTTTCAAATGTAACTCTTATACAACATCTCAAAAACTAACATTCCTACTGTATATTAAAGTAGTCAACTTGTTCCCAACGCTTAAACAACTTTAACAATTTAAAATATTAAAACCAAACAAACCAGAAGAGAGCAAACATTAGATTCAAAGTTATAAACTAAGATTAAAAGGATAACTTATTATGACTGCTTTCATGGCAGGTCATTTGAAACTGTGATGTTAATGCGACTTCTAATTTAAATACAAATAAAAGTACAATAAAATTCATAAAAAACAAACACCCATCTGTTGGTTTCACTTTTGTCCTCTGTCACAAACATCTCATGTGTTTCCCACCAGGTATTTTTAAAATCGAAGACTCTGCTCACGTGGCGAGGCTGTGGGGACTCAGGAAGAACCGACCTGCCATGAACTATGACAAACTGAGCCGCTCCATACGTCAGTACTACAAGAAGGGCATCATCCGCAAGCCTGACGTGTCCCAGAGACTGGTGTACCAGTTTGTTCACCCAGTGTGAGGAGGAGGAGGAGGAGACGGAAACCTACCAAACCCAGAGGACAAACTGTCTCACAATGCACTTGAACACCACATGAAAAGGTGACAGGAAACACAGAAAGACCTAACACACTTTCTCTGCCAACACTGAAGCAACTGAATGAAGGTGTTCTGTGCATGGGCTGGAGAGGAAGAGACAAAACAATGTGGCTGTGGAGGCTTTTCCCTTAATGAAACTAAAGCAGATTAAAAAACAAATCAAAATAAACCTGCCTTGTCATTTTCTGCATGATCTGCCTGTTTATCTTTCCTTAATGTGATCTCATTTGACTCCTCACAGCAAACAGTTAGATCTGATTGCTCTCAGGAAAACGCCCACAGCTACATTTGCTTAGTCTTTTTGTTTCGCTCATCTTGACCACTGACTGTCTCTGTTTGAATTAGAGCCAGTTTTCCTGACACAGTTGGAAATGGTGGTTGGGATTGTTTTGCTTGTTTTGGGTTTGGTCCTGGCTGTTGTACTCACAATCAGTCAGTCATCTTCTACTGAAACCCATCGACTATCTTTGTATAATCTCAAAAGTACAGAGAAGGAAGCCTCAGAGCGAAACCTGTTTCTGAACGAACACGTGTCATGTCATTACTTTTCCAAGGTGTCACTTTAGGGAGTGATCCATTTCCTTATGGTTTCCCTGCTGAAGAGCCCTGCTTTATATTTGATTCTGTTCACTTTTGTTTGTACTGCCCTACAAGGCATTTAATGTTGTTTTTTTTAACTGGAAGCATTCAAAATAAAATAAATAGATGTGAAATTAAAAATCATATCAATAATTACAAAGTATATGATGTGAGCTTGTAAAATAATTCAACTTTGTTTGTAGATCAATGGTTGGACGGTTTACCAGTGTTGTTCAAACTGAATATTTCTTGAAAGAAAATGATATGGATTATATATATGTTTGATTCATTTAGCACCATGTTCCAAATGTAACTCATACAATAGCTTGGTTTTCTATCAATAACTACAACTCTAATCATTCTTGGTTGTGAGTTTTTGTTGTTGTTGTTGTGCTAATTAGCGTTGTTTAAGTCATTTAACTACATCATGATTTCCCACTAAGAGTTTACTATAAAGTTATATTATTAAATTAATGCTTTTTCTGAATAATGCACACATTTTGATAATTTACATAAGCAACAGCTGGAGTGGAACAAAAACATATCTGCATCAAACTTTATACCCAATAGCATTTATTTTGAGTAAATGCAGGATGAACTAAATTACAAATTGTATTGGATTTTTTCACAATTTCATAGTCATGTATTCCATCTGGATTTATTCATATGAGTATTTATTTCATTATTTTATATTTTATTTTATTACATTTGGAAGTTTTGCCGCTGCTTACTTCACAGTTATTACTGATAATAACTTAATCCGGAAAATTCCTGAACGTCTGCCTCAGCAAGAATAGGTTATCCAAGCTTCAAACAAGACTTCATAAACTCTGTTTTTTAACTGAATTTGCATCCAACAAAGAAACGGTTTGCAGTGCCTTCAAATACAATGCTCAACAACTCATCTGTAATTACTTATTATATATACTTATTTTTGGTGTGATATTTCCTGGTTCAGATTTTTTGTTGACTAACTGCTTTTTCTTAATATATTCCAACGGGTTTTTAAAATGTGTCATAATTGCTCATAGGAAGTGAGCCAGAAGCTCTGTAGTCTAAATCTGCCAAGAAAAGCTGGCCTGCAGCTACATTGAGCTGTGAGTGAGGTGTGTGTTGTGGAAGGTACATTCATTGCTTTTATTTTACAGTTTTTAAATCTCAGAGGGGGAAACATTGATTAAAGGGAACAACGGGGGTTACAATTTAAGGAGAATGTGTGACATACTCTATGTGATTCATCAGCACCATATTGATTTGATAATCCATTGGCAAATGTTAATTACAGATGGTGGAGTACAAACAAGTGGGAGGAAATTATGAATCGGCCTCACCCACTCACCAAAGCTGCCACAAAACAACCGTTTTAATTCAACATCTAAACTGAGCCCAAGCCAACTCGTCCTCATCAGCCCTTTCTGGAGGGAGAGTCGAATACAAATATTATTACAGGAGGAAATATCTGTCCAGAGATCAGATCAAAATGTTGCATAGTATATCATTTTACAGAGCGGCCGAGGAGAGAAAAATATTGAGGCAACAATTTACCTAATTTTGAGTTATTTAGACTTAATTAACACTTATATAATATCATTATTTGTTAAGTGTTATTATGGGAGAATTACTATTCTTGTGGTACTACTGCCTTATTAGGCCCATATTGAGCAGAGCATATTAAGACCAAAACTCGTGTACAACAACTTCCTTACTTGCAATAAATAAGCACAAATTAGAGGGTTATTGAGGAAAAACTCTCAACTAATGGCCTATTACTTGTAGAATATGGTCATGTAGAGTAAGGCATTAATAAGTGTTTTATAATGACTAATAAATAGCCAATATACTGCTAATATGCATGTTAATTAACAACTAGTTGATGGTGAATTTGTGTACCTTAATAAAAAGTGTTACCGTATTTATTAATTGTGCACACAAGATGAACCAATGTGCCTCAGTTTAGAGTCTTACACTTTCCCACGATTTTGTTAATTTGTGGAAATGAGATCTAGCGATACAGCCAGCCTTTCTCCCTGAAACAGCCCCTGTTTTTTGTTCACAAAGTCTGGACTGAATTGGGAGAACTTTAGGATTGTGTGCAGCTGCTGCATGTGATACAGACTGAGCTGAATTTATGGAACGTTGTAATCTGAACAAAACTTTAGTGAAAGTCCAGGATATAATTGTAATATGCAGCAGCAAATGCTGTGTTGGATCAAATTAATGTTCTCCATCTCCAATGTATGTGCTTTTATGTTAAAGCTGTGTTGACCTGGTTATAAACAAGCTAACTTAAAATATAGCAAACATCATAAATCATAATTTCTCAATGTCCTGGTGATTGACTTTTATCAGCCAAATGCTTTTCTTAAAACAAGTGTAGTCAATATGTCTTGATACGTTTTGCCCAAGCTAAATTAAAAGTTAAAAACCTGATGGTGGTTGCTGTAATGAATGATTTGGCCTTGTGTGCTTCCAAAATTATTTAATAATACAATTCGTGACAAGTTCATCAAAATGTGTAAACTATTAAAAAAATAAGTAACAATAATACACTTTGCAATAATAATAGTATATCATGAAGTTGATATATATTTGTTTTATATTTATTCTTCTCACTATGGCAGATCCGTGACACAGTACATTTTGCGCATAATTATGCATTCTCTTAATTATAGTATTTTTGATTCTTGAATTTCCAATTTGCCAGGCTACATTGCATTCTATACGATTGCACATGGGTAGCTACATATACTTTTTGACTAATTAATTAACTTTAGCTTAAAAAAAACCTTCTACTTGTTTTTTCAATATGTGATATCATATTCTTCTTGTTCATTGAGACCTACATGTGATGCTTAAATGAATGTAACCCTCCTGTTATCCTCAGGCTTACTTTACACCCTTTATCCTCTGGGGTCAATTTGACACCAGTAGTTTAAAACTCAAGACAATGATCATATTCCAAATTGTAACCAACATGTAAGTCTCTGGTGCTTTAGGTGTCTTAGTTGAATACCTAAATAACCATTTAAATAAAACATTACCCCAACCTTCCCCCCTACAGACCCCTTTATACATCCAGAATTCCTATTATTGTGTGAAAATATATAAATCACCATAAAATCTCACTGATTGAAATAAAATGTTAAAGTAAGATCTTTTTGATGTTGTTAAAGGACCAATAACTAAAGCAGAGGGTATTTTTTTTTTTACATGTAATAGTCATCTCAATATCATCCTACACAATCAACACAAATATGTGTAAAATATTGACATTTTTACATGTTTTATACTACTATAACAGCCTGGGGTCAAATTGACCCCAAGGAACACCGATGCGTACAAAGTGCGTACAGGACATTTAAAAAAGATCTTCATGTTCATTTTATGTTTACCCATTAGTCCTCACTAAATTAGGAAAAGTCATGAAATACTAAGCAAAACAAATAATGTGAACCATTTTTTTAGATACGTTAAACATTGAATGGGGTCAAATTGACCCCAAGGGTAACAGGAGGGTTAATACAATTAGAGGTATAGAGGTAATTGTAGCATCAACTGCTGCCAAGATGTCAGTGTCTGTTTGGTTCAGGTGTCAATGGGAAAGAAAAACACACACCACCTGACCACCAAATGTTCTCAGGAAAGCAAATAGTAACAGTTATTTTCTTTGCAGGGCTGATGTCTCTCCAAGATAAAGAAACACATCAGGAAATGCAAACAATAAAAGCCTAGTAATGAAATCAACAGCAGTTTGCTTTAGTTGATTATTTTCCTGCCATTTTCACATCACACAAATATCATTGATATGAATGAACCTGTCTATGTTGGGGGAAGTCCTGGGGCATTGTGGGAATTTTGTTGGCTTGTGTATTAACTGGCAGCAGGTGTGTAGATTACACTGGATGATACCAGTGGTGTAAGTAACTAAGTGGATTTACTCAAGTACTAAGTACAATTTTGAGGTACTTGTACTATACTTGCTTGTAAAGCACTCTGAGCACCAGGAAAAGCGCTGTATAAATAACATGTATTATTGTTATTATTATTACTTGAGTATTTCAATGTATTGCTACTTTGTACTTCTACTCCACTACAATTCAGAGGTATATCGTGTACTTTTTCTCCACAACATTAATTGAATAGCTTTAGTTACTTAACAGATTTGGATTAATGATGTGAATATAATCAACTCTTAAATCAGACTTAAATTCACAAGCTACCCTGCAGTATACAAAGTGATTAAAACTATAGCTGCACCTTTACCAGCTTTGAGAACACTTTAATCAATAATTATAATCAAAACATATCATATATATTGTTCTGAAAATTGAACAATCTGCAAAATGAATACTTTTACTTTTGGTACTTAAAGTATATTTTGATGCTACTACTTTTGTACTTTTCCCTGAGTAACATTTTGAATGCAGGACTTTTACTTTAACAGAATATTCATAAACTCTGGTACATTTACTTTTACTTGAGTACAAGATCTGAGTACTTCCACCTCTGGAAGATACTGAAGGATTTGTGTTTGTTGGGATCTGTCTCACAACATGATGAATAATGTGACAATGATCTGAATGAGGTTACTACTGTCCTCTAGTGGCGGGTTGTGGTGTCATTAGGTTAGGTGTTATAGGATTTGACTTTTGTATTTCCATTGTTGCTAATTTATACATTCAGACGTATACTTCTTCAACACATTTCAGAGGGGAATAATGTACTTTTAACTGAGTTACTTTGCTCCCACATCCCCTCATATTGTTGATCTGACCTTTGGAAGGCCTTAGGTACTTTAATTAAAGTATTTTTACTTGATACTTCAATTGGGGATATTGTCCTTTTTAACTGTACTACATCTTTTCGAAAGCTTTTGTGACTATTTCATTACTTATAAAGATTTAACATACAAAATGTCATAATACTATATGAATATGGTGCATTATTCTAAATCTAACTACACAACAACAGGTACATTCATTCATCAGCAATAATTATCTAATAATATAATGTTTAATAGTCAGTCACACAATATTTCCCCTGCTTAAAGACTCCACTTTGATACTTTAGGTACACTTTACCCTTTCATACTTAGACTGACATGCTTAGGCAGGACTTCTAGCTTACTGTGATATTGCACATTAACTTATGTAAAGGATCCAATTTCTTTCTTTTTTTACAATAACATGTGTTGAAATGTGGTCAAATGTACACATTTTAATCGCAATGAGTCTCATATGCCTCAGAGTTTTCTGATGACATCTTTTATTTTTTGCGTATGCAGATAAACAGGCACTACAGTTTGGAAATAACAGCACTATGCTACGAAAAGAAAGATAAAGCCTTCTAAAAGTTCCCGTCAACATTGCAGATCAATGTTTTCAGACAGAAAAGAGAGAAGCATGTATGTTTGTTTTAAATATGATTTACGGTTATTCAGTGTATCACAGGAGTGTCACAGTGGATGGAGCAGTTGTAGCTTTTACAGTACACTTGTCAAGAGTCCCATACATTGAAAATACACTTTTTAAACCTTTAAACTCATCTTCAGTCATCACGAAGAAGTCCTGCGTGTTGTGTCGGTGTGTAAACTGAGCCGGAGTACAGCAGTCAGATTCAGTCGAGGCGAGCTCACTTTGTTTAACATGATGGTTGAGAGTCTCTGCAGTTGTCGGGTGGTAGATTTTGATAAGGCAATGTTGATTTCACCCCCCAGTGCTTACAAAGAGCAACATTTTTTTTTTTTAAAGCACACAGAAGCACAGACAGAGTACAAGAGACATTTCCCTACTGGACCTTTTAAAAGTGAACTTCTCTGTTAGAGCAATACAAGGCCACTGTCTCATCAATATTTCAGACACAGATCCTCTTTCTGTTCTTTTGTGCAGCCTTTTCTGTCTGCGTCAGTAAAACTACACCAACATTACTCATCAACATCGGTGTAGTTTACACCAACACCTGTGGTTACCCGGAGCAACGAACCAATCAACATGCACTTATACTCTTAGTTTGATTTTTTGATTAAAACAAAATAAGCAATAAAGACGTGTACATTTGGTACACACTGAAATAGACCAATCATGTCCGACTATGTTATGCAATGCAAATCAATGGCATCATCGTCATCTGATAAGGGTTTTAATTCCATCAAGACACTGTGAATAATTTGGTGGAAACAAATTGAGGCCATGCACTGGATCAGTCCAGACCAGAGCGGTTAACAGTGTGTGGGATCAGCATGCACACAATCAGAGAGACAGGAGCTGGAAGCTGATAATGCCAAGTCACTAACATTCACTCATAGTAAACAATTAGCTGCAGCAGTCGATTGGAGATTAATAAATAAAATCCTAGGATGTGAAATGAAGTTGTTTCCAGGCAGGTTTGTTCAGTGCGCATGGGGTTATTATGACAGTCCATTTGTACATCAAGACAAAACAGGAAGACACACAGAATGAAATGTAATAGTTCTAACAGTATCAGTGACAGCGGAGGGAAGTGTAAACAACTCTTGCTCTGTTTCAAAGAGAAGCTCTGCTCAGTGAATGTGTGTGTTTGTTATACTGATGATGAGCTGTCTATTATCTCGGTCCATAATGCTAATTCAGTGTCATGCTATGGAGAGCAGCAGGAAAACAACGACATGTATTAAAGGAATAGTTTTAAATATACTTATTCTGCTTATTCTTATTTTTAACTTTTATCCATGTATTTTTTCTTTTAATGCTTATTTTATTATCTTTTCTTTTTAATGACTGATTTTAAATGCCATTTTCATAATGTCTTCCATTTTTGTAAAGCACTTTGAATTGCCTTGTGTTGAAAGGTGCTATATAAATAAACTTGCCTTGCCTGCCTTGCCTTGCCTTATTCAGGCATGTTTGTGCACTACATGTGAAGCCATAGCTAGCTAGCTTAGCATAGCATAAAGACGTTAACCAGTCAGCTAGACTAGACTGGTTTTTAAGATAAGATAAGATGTACTTTATTGATCACAATTTGGGACATTTTTTGAAACTTCCTAAATAGAATTGTGTTTTTCGTTTGTTTAATTTGTACAAAAAGGTGACCAGTTGTGGTTTAATGGGGGGGTTAGTGCTAAATATATTTTTTGGCCAGACGCAATGGTTTATCGATTATTCACAATTTTGTATAGGTTAAAGCAGCTGAAACTGCAAGCCTAACACTGGAGTACATTTTCAATTGTTAACTTTTGAGCTTTAGAGGAGGTGGTAGGTATTTTTGGTTTCTTTCAAACAAAGCAAGGTTAGCTGTTTTAGTCTTTATGCTAGGCTAAGCTAATCTGGCCCTGGATGTAGCTTCACTTCACAAACATGAAAGTAGTATCAATCAAATTCTCAGAAGGAAAGCAAATAAGTAAATACCCCAAAACTATTCCTTTAATTTTAAACGTGTACATATTTCACAGAGAGGAAAAAACACTGTATTCAATGAGAAAAAACTGTACAAGCATCCAGACTGTAAAAAATAAAAGATTAAAATATATACATGAAATGCACAATGCATAGCTCAGGCTATCCAGGCACGACTGACGATACTGTGTCAGTGTCAGGATGAGAGAACACACTGTGTAGCATGTTAGCATCACATCTGAAATCAAACACAGCTACACAGAAAAGAGACTGAAATACTTTTGCTTCAGGTGCAGTATCTGGATGATGATTTAGTTTCAGTAAAGTCTTTCGCTGTGATGAGATGAAGACGGCTCTCTACGCCCGACGTGAAAAGGAAGCTTTGCTCTCAAGTCTCTGGCAATGTGCAGTTATGACTGGACGGTTCAGTCTGGGTTTTGCCCTCCGATGACACATCATCCTGAGCGGCAGCAGCTACATCGGCTCCACGTAATTGGCCGGGTAAAGACCCAGCTGGCCGCTCTCTAGGCGACCTTTACACCAACCCTGCTCGTCCTCGTCTTCAAGCTTAATCAGCTCGTCCCCTTTATCATAGGAGAGGAGAACAACAAGAAGAGATTATGTGACTTCAGTCAATGTTAATCATAGCAGTCAACAAGAATATAAAAAGGGATATTCCACCAAAAATACTGTCTGTGAGTGTCTGATTTTGTACAATTAAAGGTGGGGTAGGTAAGTTTGAGAAACTGGCTCGAGATACACTTTTTGTTATATTCCATGGAATGCTCTTAACATCCCGATAGCAATGAATATCTTAAGTGCTTTGACAAAAAAAAAATTCATCTGTGGAAGCCGTAGTACTGTAAAAAGCACGACCAATCATTTTAGCCGGCCCGGCTAAAATAACTGGATGGCCTACCTGCCTGTCAGCCTTCCATCTGTGCACAAACTTATCTCGTGCCCTCATTGGTCATGTGCGCGTTCGTGTGTGTTGGAGGAGGGGCTCTGTAAGGAAGTGGCAGATTTTCTCCGGTTGTGTATTTTCAAATTCTACGCACTCGAGCTGGTTTCTCCGAAATTGCCTACCCCACCTTTAAGTGCTTTGAAAGGAATAGTTTGGCATATGGGGAAATATGCTGAACAGTTTTATTTAAGAGAAATAGATTACTTTCATATCTATCTATTTAATGTTAAGCTTCATTCGGTAGCAGCTTAGCTTAGCATAAATACTGGAAATGTGATTGGGAGAGTCAATCCTCTATTGAAATGCAAACCTAGTTCATAGGGCATTGGTGTTATACAGAACCTTGTGCTACCAAGACGAATACAGATACTCTTAAGATTTGTCTTGTCCTTCGTTTGACTTTATGAAACATAAAGACAGTATGGCAGCAGGAACGGTTCTTGACAATCTTAGGTTCATTTGAAAATCTTTGCTCGCTTGAGTTGCAGGGATTCACTGTTTTCTAGATTCATCTTTCTATGTAAAACGTATATTTGGCTGCAGGAAATCCTCAGTGTCTTTCCAGTAACGGGACCCTCACCTGCTCTGAAGCTGAGCTCGTCCTGCTCTTGTCCGTCGTAGTCGTACAGCGCTCTCACTCTCACGCCTTTCACCACGTCCTCCTCGAAGGGGTTCGCTCCTCCGTTGGTGTCGTTGCCCGAGTCTGGGGCGGTCTGATCCTCGTCCGACCACTCTGTGGAGGCCATGTACGCCTGGTTCTTCTCGTAGCTGCTCACACTGAAAGTAACACATTTCAGAAGAACATTGATGCTCAGTTTCACCAGCAACATCTATCAATGTCAGGAAGTCAAAATGCTACCTCTGCTGCGACTGCAACTCTGTTGAAGTGTGTGCAGTCAGTGTTTTTCCTTTACTTAATACATTTTTAAATAAATATTCCTGCAAAACCATTACAGTACTTTCGTTGTACTGTGTTGTGGTTAGAAGATGGCAAAAGTTGCTTGTAATAAAACCCTTGCAAAACTATGCAAAGACAGTCTGGTGATGGACAATCGCTCTCGGCATTGGGAATATTGCAAACATCTGCTAAATAAAATGAAGAATATTACTAAAATGGTGTTTAATCTTACCTCCCCCGGTCTTCAGCTTGAGCGTGGTTGACTGCTGTTGTGACGTGGGTCAGCATGACGCCGTCGCTGCTTTTCTTCAACTTTTCTTTCTTTGAAATGTTATGGGTAAGGTCGGGGTTGTATTCCTGAAAAAAACAAGACACAGCATATTTAGCTTTGGATTTTGCACTGCACAGGAAATAGTCTTTAAATCCAGGTAGCACTCAGTGTGTCACGTTTAATTATTATATATTTTGAGTCACATCTATCAATATAATGCTCCCTGACAATACCATCCATCCATCTTCTACCGCTTATCCGGTGTCGGGTCGCGGAGGTAGCACTTCCAGCTGAGGGCCCCAAACTTCCCTCCTTATGGCAGCCTTACCAGGAGCCCGAACCAATGATGGACCGGTAGATTGAGAGCCTTGCCTTCTGGCACTTATCAATACGTTGCTCCATAACTTTACCCAATACATTTTTACACATTTTTGGAAAATGGTCGGCTCCCACTTTACTTAATGAGTTAAGTTCCATTATCTATATTATGTGTTTGTAAGCAGCATTTCAGAAAAATCTAAATTAAACTTGGTTGAAAGGTGGAGCCTGGGCAAAGGAAGAACCTATTCAGTTTTGTAGTGGATCTGAATCACAATTCGGAGACACATTTTATTTTAAGGCCTTCACAAGAGTCTGCCACCACATAACATACACTTTAATTAAATATACAAGATGTTGGATTACATTTTTATTAGTTAAATTAAGACAAATCCAGGCTAAATGTTTCCCCTTTCTCCCTCTCTTTATGCTATGTTAAGCTTTCTGACTAGCGTTAGCGTCATAGTAAGGGTACAAACATGAAGGTTTTATACATTTTCTTATCTAACTCTGAGCAAGGATCTAAAAGGGTATATCCCATAATGTCATACTATTCCTTTCCTACTGTTTAAAGCATAACACTGCAGGGCCCATAGTGATGATGCCTTATTGGTCTTGTGTCTCTACCTCAAACTGTGGCCAGTTCATATGCATGCCGGGGCCGTGAGTGTTGCTGAACCACTTCAGATCTTCCTGCGGGCTGGACGATGTGATAGTGCGTTCAAGTTCTTCGTACACTGCGGCATAGCTGTGAAGATGATAGGGAGGATTTAGTACATGTAAAGGATAATCTCATTTCTCCTCTTTTAAACAGTTTTATAAACATTTCAAAACCTTTCGTCTTCTGTGAGGTTGAGGTGGCGCTTGACGTCCAACAGCACCTCCCTGAGGAAGCTGAGCCTCTTCTCCTCAAACTGCTGGGACTGGTCGAACACCAGCTCCATGTTCTCCATGTACTGCGGAGTGCACTTACTCAGCTCATCCAGAGCCTTCTCATACTTCTCCTTGGCCTAGGTGGAAACACACACACACACAAAATATACACTTAACAGAAATAAATGATATTTTACGAGATCTCACTGATCTGGGGACAACACAAGCTTTATAGTCCAGTGGTCAATGCTAACAACCTTACAAGTGTCATAAACGGGTTTTCAAAGCACAAGAAAGAATCTAGTGTGAAGGGATTGAAATGGGACCAGAGTCCACTTAGGCAAGAGGGAAGCTAATGTTGGAGTAGTGATGGAAAGGGGGAGGTGTAGTATTCAGTCACACATTAATAATGCTACACTGGATACAGCTGTGGTGCCTTTATAACACTCGGCTCAGAGAAACCAGCTCTACATCTTAAAATAGCCTGTGAGTGGATGTTGGCTTAATTGTAGAAAACAGCTCCTGCATAATAAGCACCAATAGTCGATGCTCTCACCTTCTGTGAGTCCTGTTTGCATTTTTCCAGTTTCTCCGAGAGTTTCTTCTGCTGGTCAGCGGCCACTGAGGCCTCTCCCTTACTGTTGGCCTCTCTGGTGGACGCCAGCTTCTCCTCTTTGCAGGCCATGTGGTAGGACTTCTTTGCAGCCTCGAGCTAAAATAACAAGATGATACAAACAAATATAACCTTTTTTGCGCCGAAGTAAATCTACACATTTCACAAATACTGTAGACAAAAGCATAAGATCAGATAGAAAAATCCTTTATTGCTTTTTGCAGTGTTACACCAGCAATTGGAATAGTAAAATAACAAGAACAGTCACTAAAATTAAACTTAAGAAATACATAAGTAGACAGATTGACTAGTTAGAAAAAAGTAATGCTGCAGCCAAAGATTATTTCATAAGTGAATAATCAATGCTCATCATCATTTCCTTAAGCCAAAGTTTAAGATATTAAATTGTTTGATCTCCCCAATTAATTGTCCAAAATCGACCAATATTCAGTACGATATCACATAAGACATAGGAAGGCAGCAAATACTTAAAACTTAAAGCAGAGTTGATAAAAGCACACTTCCTCACCTCTTTTAGCTTTTTGGCCCAGGGTTTCTGGGCCTTCTTGAAGCCCTCGTCTGCCTCTTTGGTTTCCTTGAATCCGCCCATCATCTGTTTGTGGTACAAGTCTTTCTGCCAGTTCTTCACTTTCTCAAAGTCCTCGTTGATCAGGCTGTTTTTCACTTCCTGGTGAAGCTCGCTCACCTTCTCTGCCTCTGTCATCATCCCAAACCAAGCTCGCTCTACTGTGCCGTACTGAGGCCCTGGTGGAGGGAGGAAAGGGAGTAAGTCAGGTATAGTGTAATATAAAATACGAAATGTGTGTTCTTAAAAAATACATGCTAATTAATATGACACATCGCGTACCTTTGTCTACCAGCTGTCTCCATCTCTTGGACCACTCGGTCAGTTGCTGTGCGTAGCCTTTCTCGATTTTGGCACGCTCCTGGATGCAGTTCATCAGGTCATTGCAGAGCCGGTGACCATCGTCGATCCGCTTCACTGTACGTTTGTAGTTCCCAACCTGACATTTAAAAAAATAAAGTTACTTCTATTGTTTCTATTAAAGTTATAACACACTTTGAAATATGGGACATGAGCTTAGTTGCTTTCTTGGTTAGTTTAATAGAGTATCTGTACCACATCTGGATGAATAGCTTAGCTTAGGTTAGCATAAAGACTAGCATGATGACCTAAGTTAATATCAATCAATCGATTGAATTGTATCTACATTGCATTCTATCACAAATTACACATTGTCTCTATTGGTTTACATTTGAAATCTTAAGAGTTGCTTGTGAGCAGGTTTTTTAACTTAAGAAAGTGCCATTCTGCTAAGCTACTTCCCCTGACTTTAAGTCTTTGTGCTAAGCTAATGAGCTCCTAGCTTCTTCTCCTTCAACTCTTATCAAACGAGCTGTGTTTCTTAAGTGTCAAAATGTTCCTGTGACTGCTGTTTATCTGATTTCATCACTTTCTTGTTAAAGAAGAGCACATTACCCGAGTTTCCACTCTTTTATTTATCTGAATACAGATATGCACAAATACGAAGAAACTAACAGGTAGCGAAAAGGCTAACAGGTAGTCCAGTGCAAGGGAGCAGTTGGGGGTTCGGTGCCTTGCTCAAGGACACCTGCCCAGGATGTATCTCCACCAAGTAATTTTCGGTCTAATTTGGAATGAATGGGGACTTGAACCGGCCTCTCAGTTTGGAAGCCAAGTCCCTACAGACTGAGCTACTGCCGCACCAGGATAGACTTTAAAGTTTGGATTAGTGAAGTGGAGATCGACTTGTATGCTCATCTTTTAAATCCTTCTGCCGCTTTAAAAATTAAGCTGTGACAGAGATTTCCAATGCCATCTTGTGTCTTGCTATTACAACAAAGTGTCAATTTCATGGCAATGAAAAACTGTTGGATCACTGTGTGAGGTGCCGCCTTTAAAAGGCACTCAGCCTGCAGGTGCTGCATTTAGGCAGGAAGGAACAGCAGGGAAGAGACTGCTGTGTGAGCGACTTATGAGATGTTATCTTGAGACAGAGTGAGAGAGACTCAAAGAGAGGGAGGCTCCAATCCCACATTACGGCATTCATTTCACACTTTAAAAGAGAACGTCTGCTTCTTTGCTGAATGCATAAAAGGTGTTCACCTATACCGCACCCTGTAAAGGACACTCAACAAATCTCATGCGTGGACTAAATGAAAGCAGCCGGTCAGAATAATGTGTGTATTCCCCCCCAGCCCCTGCGCTTCAGTGGAGTCAGCGATCAGCAGCACTGCAGCGGCGGTGATGTAGTGACTGTCTGCTGCTCACAGACACCTCTGCTGCTCAGCTGATTGCCGGTCGCAGAGACGTGACGAGGATAAAACACGACCGAGCCCGGGAGGAAATGGATTATGAAACTTTGAACATGTGAAGTGATGACACATATTTTCTGTCTCGAGTACTCACTGAAACACGTCATTCATCTTACATAGTGTCTCAACATGAAGCTGAATGATAGATGGATTGAGTCAATATTATGTGATTGAGTCAATATTGTCTGTAGCTTAATCAAATGGTGTCCTGTTAGCTCACTGGGAGTCAGCTCTCATTTATAATGAATGGACTTGTGGGAACTTATTGCTCAAATGACTGGGGACTGTTTGTGCTCAGGGAAGGTTGTTGTTGATGATGTAAACACATAGGAGAAACCTGACATAGAGTCATCTAGAGCTGAACAATACATACATTATTAAATGTGTTAATTATTAATAATCTGCCACCATATCAATAAAGTATCAGTTATTATAAAAGCAAACATGTCAAGTTTAGCCCCAGCTTCTCCGTTGCTGCTTTTGTTTGTAAAATGTGACTATAATCTGGATATTTTGGGCTTATTGTTATATATTAAGAGACTTTAGGAAACAGTTTTCTATATTTTATGACTGCATAATCGATTCATTAAGAAAACAAACACTGAAATTATTCAATATTAAAAATGATGTTTTTTTAAAGCCCTATTATCATCAGCGCTCTTGCTGGTTTGCTTGTTGTAAAGGTTTTAATTGTTCCACTAAGCGTCAGAAATAATAGGGTGCAAAGGGCGAAAAACTGCCCTTTGATTAATTTAAGGTATTTTCTCCATAAAAAATATATGTTCCACCCTTGTTGCACTTATTCTCAGTTGCATAACAGAGGATTTAGCATGCTCGGTCACTCCATTATGCAACAATTGCACTAAAAGGTTTGTCATTATTACGAAAACCGCAACAGATCTGTGCTGGCTCAGAAATCACCAAGTGATCGATCACTATTGATATATTATTTGTAGATTTGTTGAATTGACTGTTTATGTGTGACTTGTGGCAGTTGATGAATGAGATGTTTCCTCTCCTCTCCCAGGTTCGGTGAGAGTTCATCACTAAGCAGTGTCAGTTCCCACTTTAGTTTAATCTGTCAGAGACTGTTCCCCGCTGTCTCACCTCCCAGAAACTGTCCGTGGTCTCCTCCTGGCTGGCGGACTCGTCGTAGGCTCCAGACATGGTCTCCAGATTTGGCAGGATGGCTTCAGGCGGTGTGGGTCTGCAGAGTTACGCTCCTCATGCACTGTGAGGGAGGACGAGCACAGAGGGTGTTAATGATAAATATGGTCATGAGCTCCAAAGACTGATGCTACATAATGTGGCTCTGGCTCCATTCAATTAATAATGTCACTGGTACTGGATGTGTCTTTTGTACATTTCTATTTCTATTTTTCTCTAATATTTTATGGATGTGATAATTACATTTAAAAAACGTTACGATTAAACGCTTATTCTTGCAGTTTATGTGATCACAACATCATAGAATGAATCTATAGGCTTTGTTCAGGCTCTTTTAATACTCACTAACGTTGTGTCATGGATGTCAAAGTGGAGAGAAAATGATTATGTAATGAAGAAAAAAAGGGCAGCACACATGAAAGATTACTATCCACGCAGCTTTATAACAAACAGAGCTTCCTTTTCAAAGAACAAAAGAGAGTGTGACGATGGTCGCTGACCGAGGAATTACATATTCATGGCCCAGATTAAATGGATGCAGGTTGGAAGCCAGTCTATGAAATAAAGTCTTAGGCTGACAATAAAAGATTGTTTTAATTATGTGCGATTGTTTTACGATGCCTATAACATGTCCAAACGTTTTTTAAATGCATGTCACAAACTCCTAGAGCAAAAGACGTCTTGAAATCGCTAAATCGTCCGTCAAACAGAAGGGTATTTGGTTTACAATGGTTAAACATGTGCCAGCAAAACCTTCTCAAAATGGAGCTGGAACGAAGGATTCTCTGGTATGTTTAATAGGAAACAATGACTCAAACGATTCATTCATTCATCAATCAATTATCAATTTATTTCAAGGAACACATCAACTAATCCATAATGGTTTCAGCTTGTGGATCATTCATTCAAAACAAATGCCCCTTATAATACTCGTAAGCCAAAGCTTACCTCTTCAAATTGCTATTTGTATGTGAACAGCAATCTAAAAGCCCAATAACTTTCAATAAACGGAGATAAGTACATTTTGATCGACTGAATTTCTGTCGTGTCAATCAAACTGTTGACATTTACAACTTTGCAAACAGATACTGCAGATAACACAGCTGAATGAGATAATGCACCTTTGTACAGAGTCCAATCTAAAGGTGACAAATCATTGATTACTATCTGTGTTTATTAAAAGCTCAGCACCTGAGCATTTTAATCTACACAATACTTTCCACACTGATATCAGTTAGGGTAAGGCACTTAAAAAACTATTACCCTCATACCCTGTTCCTCTCCTTTCCTGAGATGACTTGTCATCAATACATGTAATGACTGGCTAATGACTATCAGTGGCTTCTTTAAGAACTCTGAAACCTAATTGCAAAATAATCTTCCCTCATTTCGTCAACTAACATTGTCCAAAGGCCTCACTGGAACAAATGATGCTGCTCCAGAACTTAAAGTAATAACTGATCAAATAACGCATGCTAAAGATTGCATGTGATATTTACAATTAAGAGCACAACATGACAGGGGGATCTATGTATCAATCATACTGGGAGCAGACACAAGGGTCCATTGGGTTCCTGTTGGAAAGGTCGGTCAAACAATAACCAAAAAAACAATCACAGAGATGCAAAATGAAATGCAAAGAAAACGACAAAAAAGCAGCAAAACGACCACAAAAACTGCAAATAGATGCTACATAACAGAAGATGCCAAATTAGAGGCCGAGTTTCTCAAATTCTGTCCATGTTAGCGTCTTTATACACTGATTTTAATAAGAAAAGCCATAACACAGAATAAAGGTGCAGTGATCTATGACTAATGACGTTTCAATGACTGCAGACTGTCAGCGTGAGTGAAGACACAGACTGAACATTATCCTGATGCTGCTGCAGCCTCATCAGAGCGCGCCTCACCTCCACATGTTCAGGTTCAGTAGGGCTGCTCGATTATGGCAAAAATCATAATCTCGATTATTTGGGTCAATAATTGATATCTCGATTATTAAAAACGATTATCCATTTACTTTGAAAACATCCATTTATTGAAAAAAGGGTTAGTAGACAGTATGTTTTTAACAGTTGGTTACCCTGAACTTTAAGTATAATTCAACTGAAAACAAATTTTTAATTTTTTTTTTATTTAAAAAGAATAAAAAGAATAATTGTTTTATTTTGATGAAGTTGTTTTACACACATTCACACAGCGCGCTGAAATCATCCTGGCTCAAAGTAAGACACAGTTAGCCACGAGCAACGAGTTGTTAAGGCTTCATAAAAGCCGAATCACAGCGAACCTCGTTATTTTTATGATATATTATCGTTGTCTACAATTCCTGACCATAAACTCTTTTTGGTATATAAAACAAAATAACATAAGCAATAAAAAAGGCTAAACGGATATAGAAGAAAACTTAATTTTGAAATGCTACTATCATTCTTTTTTTTTTATTGTTTCCTTTTGTGTGTTGCAGATATCTGCACAGGGATCTTCTTTGGAAGACACCAGATATCTTTCCTCAAATATATATGTGTTTTTTAGCAGGAGTCTGTGTTTCCTGTATCTTGACAACAAAGGTGTTGAAGGTTAGCACGACCCTGGTCTGAATGGAGAATAATGAGAAGAAGGCCCAATGTGAAAAATACTAGATTTGAAGTCTTGGATATCAGAGCTTCCCACCTGCACAAGGGCTCTCCATATTCTTTAGACAATCCTCAATTTCAACTTGACTTCTTTTATAACAAAAGAATGGAGATGTTGTTTCCTTTTGGATAAATGAATGAATTGATACCCCACCCAGAATGCAAGATGCATTACACAGAATAGGAAGTATGATATGAATGTATGCAGGGGGGGCAGGAGCTCCAAACAAATACACACACGCACCAACAAACAGAACAGCAGATCAAGATAGAATGCAAAGTGAGGATGCAAATGAACTGGATGACAAATATGAGATGATAAGATCAACAGGAAGAATTATTTGACAATGCTGTTATCAGCACAGTGAAATGTCTGCAGCGACAGACGAGTTTCACCGAGCCTCCACGGGAATACAAATATCAATAACCAGGTGATACTGTCACAGCATCTGATAAGGGTTTCTGGTTCTGTGATGTTGTAATTATGAATCGGTCAAGATATGAGAGGCCATTTTCTAAATGCTGAGAATGAGTCATCTAATCTCTGAGTGGATGACAGGATTTGCATTTGATAGAGGCATTTGGTGATTCTGTAAATATGCTCATGTTATTTCCTACCTAGAGTTAGATAACAACATTGAAACCATTTGCTTGTCTGTACAATAAATATGAAGCCACAGCAAGCAGCGAGATAGCTTAGCGTATAGCACAAAGGCTGAAAAAGATGCCTGGTTCAAAAGTAGAGAGAAATCTGCCTAACATTCATAAAACCAAGTTGTAGTTTTACGCAGGTTGATGTGTCTGAATAACTTATCCTAAATGTATACAAATTATAACGCTTTGTCCAGTTTTTAAGCTAAGCTAAGCTAACCGACTACCAGCTGTAGCATATATATTCAACCCAAATAAATTATCTTTTCAAACTTCAAGACCAATATTCTGTGCCTGTAATTTATGCAATCAAATCGGATAACGTTTGGTTGCAAATACAGTCAATTTCTGCTCAAATCTCAAAAGTTTATGAAACACCAAGGGACAGTTCCAGGACAGCATTTCTTATAACGCCTATATTCATGTCTTTACTCTGACCTGACACCACCAGCTGATTCGAAATCGACGGTTAGGTATTTGTCTTATAATGAAAGAAAAAGAAAAAAACCAAAGCAAAATCTGCCAATGAAGAAATATGTGAACTAGAACCGATTAATATGAAACAATAGACAGACAAAAAAGGAAGTGATCTTTTTTGATAGCAGGTCAGGGGGAGGGGTGGTAGCAGCATTGATATTTGGGTCAACCTTGTACCAATGGATGGAGCAACACTTGACAATGAAGGAGGATGAAATGTGAGAGGGAGGAGAAGGAAACTCCAAAATCTAGATAACTGAGAGCAAATTCCACGGGGGTCAAACCCAAAAGCTTTGAGCAAAACAAACGCCTCGGTCGGATGCAGCGTGAAGCATGGCATGAGTGTTTATCATGCTTGGTTAATCCATTAGCTACAAGTCGAGAGGGGGGCTATTGTTCACGCTAGCCCTTTGCTTGTCTCGCAGATCGTCAGATCGTAGTGTCAGAAAAAACAGCCACAGACTGGCTCCTTCCACTTTCTTAACATGGAACAGACACACAAATGTTTCACAAATCTGATTGTTTATCTAATTAGGAATGCACTAGTTGTTCAATTTACCCAGACAAACAATACCACACATACACACACACAAACATTGGCAACACCCTCCAAGGTTTAGTCACCATCACATTGCTTCCTGCTTCCCTCTTCTTCTCCTCTTTCATCAATACATACTGCAGTCCAAAGATCAACATCCTCACAAGCAAACCATGAGACTGAAAGAGCATCACTGGGAATCCCCATCCCTCTCAAGCAGCCATACAGCACACACACACAGAGCCAGTAGCATCAACACGTCAAGAGAGCCCAGCACCAAAACAAAGAGCGTCCACACACCCAGTGAGAGGGAGCCCCCCGCAACAAAAGCTTACCCCCAGTCCTCCATTAACAGCGGCTAAGGCTACAGCTAAGAGACACGTGGGCTCCTCCAGCAGGCAGACCCTCTCCTCCTCTTCTCCCCCTCCTGTTTGCTTATATTTTGCCTTTCTGACTGACTGTGCCACGGAGCATCAGCGTGCAGAGCGGGAGAAGAGGAGCACTAATCTGTGATGTGAGATCTTTCTGCCCGGAAACACTGTTCAGGAACTGCGTGTGTGTGTGTGTGTGTGTGTGTGTGGGTGTGTGTGTGTGATTCTCGCAAGAGTGAGGGATAATCCTGTGTTGCTTTGCCTGAATGGCTGAGGCAGAGCAGCAGACCAGAGAGCAAGAGAGAGGGAGAGAAAGGGGAGGGGTGGAGGAGATGAACACTGTGGATGCTGTAGTGTGTGGATGTGAGGTGTTTAATGATCAAACTGGTGCTGGTCTACACATTTGAATGCCTATTAACAGAACATATTGGGTATCGTTACTAAGGAGGACATTTTATTTTTTTGTCAGCATTATTACGGTGGCACTTCATGGCTGAAGGGTGTAGATTTCGTAATTTCTTTATGACAGTAAACTGAAACTCTTGAAGTTCAGGGACGTCATTTTGGGCATTAGCACAGACTAATCAGCATTTTCCACCATTTGCTGACATTTTCTAGACTAAACAGCTAATGTATATATCAACAATATAGGTGACAGTCTGACAGATGAATGAACAATGAAACAAATGAAATACATTGCAGCCTAATTCACTGCCACACAGGTCCTCAGCTTACCACATTGTTTTACAAAAAGCTCAGTTTTATATTTAAGGCAGCTTCAGTGTTCAGATGTAAACACTGTGGTAACAGACTCTAGAAAAGATACATTTTAGAGATGAAAAGACACAATTCAAGTTAGTTTTCACTTGGTTTAACTCAGTGTGGACATATTCTGTGAAGAAAACGTAACATAAAATGGCTGTAGATGGGGAAATGATAGAACATTTCCATATTTTGGTCCAGTGATCCAGATAATATAAAAGGCTCCATTTCAATCAAGTGTTCACAAAGTCCAGTGTAACACAGGCAGGGTGGGGGCTAACCAAATGGGAGATTATGAGAATATGAAGCAGAGCATTAGGAGGGTGGAGGAGATCCTGGGGTAGATATACGTAAGCTGTTCTGAATGTGCCTGAAGTCCAGAGAGCAGGTCTGTGCTGTTGACATGGCAGCCATAAAATGATTAATTATTACACAACTTGTCATAAAGATTCTGAAACATTTCAGCTGTTGGAAAAGGTGAAAAGCAAACACAGTCAATTGAAAAAAATCACAAATTAAACAACTTAGCATAGATAAAGTATTTCACATTTCCCTGCCCCTCTCTATGGCACCATTATTTTAAATGAGACGTTATCAAAGACATCCTGTGCCTTTAAAAACCAGGAGAACAAGAGAGGGAGACATCAGAGTCTTTGATCCCCCTGACAACCAGAAGGACACAAAGTCACTGTGTGATGACCCGACTGTCACCATGAATCAGACCTCGTCGACAGCAGAGAGAAGAGGGGGCGACACTGGTAAAAATCTGATATGAAGTCCAAAAGCAGATCATGGAATAAGAAAGAAGACTATCACACATGACAAATATGGGTTTATTAATGAGACTAAAAGTCCACAGCAATGCTAGCAGATCTGTGTGGGAGCACTTCAGCACCTAGCAGTATCCTTGAGCTAAATGCTAACATGCTCAAATGTGAATGTCTATAAGTTAACTAAGTTTGCATTAAAAAAACACCTCAAAATAACAAAACAGTGCACTCCACTTCAGTTCATCCATCACACTGAATGTGAGACAAAGGCAACAGGACCACAAAACATAAGAAAGACCGCTAATATTTTCCAAAGAATATCTAAACGTGAGATGACCCTTCAAGGAAAAGCAAGCAAATAATTGAATGTTATGCAGCCTGTCAGTCTGAAAAGTTTGAAAGAGTGATTTCCACTATCAAGTACATCTTCACACACACACACACACACACACACACACACACACCTCACTGCCCTCCGAGCACAGACACGTCCAGCTCGGTGAGATCTTTGGCCACATTATTCAAATGCAGCACTTTTTCTTTCCCTCCGGACAAACTACGCTGCTGCTGCCCTCATCACATTCATGTCCTATATTTAGAAACCCATTCATCAATAATTCACGCAGCTGTAAACAGATAAAGGAGATGACCATCATGGCTCACGTGGAGAAACTCTTAAAGGTTCGATGTAATCTCAAGTCACTGTCAAGACAATTAGATTATAAAACAGAGATGAATGCAAGATGGCTGCATTGAACAAGACCTGTCTGTATGATGTGTTTTACACCTTGAATGTTATACAACTAAATGAAGATCACACCGGAACAATATAAAACTATTTAGTGTAGTGCAAACTAAGCCCAGATCATTTTGTGAGTTCAGTTGGAATGCAATAAAATGTTATAAAAATACACTCCTCTCTTATTTAATATCACCACTGAGAGTCCCTGATAAACAATACACCCCGGCTTCTCAGCTGCAGGTAAATAAAATAAAAAGGAGGAAAGAGAATCTGTATCCCTCCCTCAACAGCTGTTAATGTTTTGAGGAAGCCTCTGTAAAAAAGGCTTTTAACCCTCAGCTGTTCGAGCTGTTGCTCAATAACCAGCAGTCAAAAGATTGCAGTTGTTGTGCAATTCTAGGGGGAAAAATATGTAGCTTTGCGAATAAAAAAGTAAACTCAGAAGATGGGAAATATCATTATTCAAAAGGGCAAGAAGAGCTTATAATTTGTGTTGAAATATATAATATATATAATGTATGGCAGCCAAAATGATTTGTCAAAACGTTGGCAACCAGACGGCAGAATAAGTGAAACTCATTCCTGTTTTTCTACAATATGAATGTATCATTAATAATACAGAAGTTCTGCACACCAGCAGACTAAAATACCTTTACAAAGGTCTTATTTTTAGCAGAACACAATCATGCCTCCATTCGAAATGTCAGTGGTCAAGTTGCATTGTGGGTAAGGTTTTGACTAGGAAGAAGGGAGGAAAAGACAATATCTCATGTTTTGTTACATATATTTTTATGAGTAAGTCTAACACCATGCTTTATCAGTTGAGTATTCTTTTAAAGACCATACTTTCAATTAGACAAGGCAAAGATCGACGTCCAAATGAACTTAATCTAAGATGACAATCTCTGATCGTTCTGTCCATGACCTTTTTAAAACAACCCTTAAATACAAATAGAAACAAGTAAAAACCCATTCATTCAATTCTTCATCAAACAGGAAAAAAGCTCACAATGACACATCTACAAAAATACAGCAATGAGGTATTAAAATAGACATAATGATCAGAGCAGATTACTGAACCTCGTCTGTCCTCTCTGCGGCCGCTCAGTCTTCAGTCAACAGCCTCAATTTCTGACAGCCTTCAGGAGAACTGTCACCTGAAACTGAGTGAAACCGTGTCGCAGCTCCACGGCAACCATGACACATCCTTCAATCCAGAACGCCTTTTCCACACACACACACACCCACACTGAACTTTGACATTTCCCTGAGAAGACACATTAAACCATCAATAATTAGCTTGCTGCTAAGGTAGGGTGGAGACGTGAGGGCTCTCCCTTGTTACACACATTCTTACACCTGTGCCATGTATTCAGAATAAAGGACAAAATGACATGAGTAACTCATCGAAAAGATAAAGAAAGCAGACCGGAAGAGCAGAGACAGGAGACGGTCACAGGAAAGGGCAGATAACGTTTGTTCTGTGAAGGACAGGCAGGGATGAGTCAACATCGGGGAAACAGCTGCGTCTCTTTAATCGATACAGATTTGCTGATGTACAACAAGTATGAACGATGAATAGTCTGAGTCTCCTTCATTTGAAGGGGAGACTTGTCTGAGGTTGGGCAATACTTTAGTGGGAATGCTGACACAGCATTCCAACTATCTGTTATGCTTCACACGAAATTCTTTATTATTCCGCCGGGTTATTTTGCGCTACTTCTTCTCCCACATTGAACATCGCAGAAACTCCGTTCAAACATCAAAACGTTCAGCTCGGTCGGGAATCGATGGCTATTACTTGTCTTTTATCATTCATAACTTTCATAATTCCAGAGATACATCCCATAATACATTACATTTTTAACATGGAAGTCAATGGAGAAACTCTTCAGACTTCAACAATCTTCATGCAACTTCAACTGCTAACTGCTCCTTCATACTTTCACTTAGAAACCTCATTCCAACTTTAAAATGTTACACATTTTTCTGACATTATTCGTGTTAAACAACTTTTAAATCTAATTCATACTTTTAGAAATATTAAACATTGTTCAGACCTTGGTAAAGAGGCCTTCTTCAGATTTTAAATTTAGTGTGTATTGAGCAGCTCGTTAAGGTGCGTGATGTCACAGCTAGAGTGGAGGACAGCTTGAAATTCGCCTTCATATTTTTTTTTAAACCTGCCATAATTCCCAAACCCTACACTCCTGAGACATAATTTGTCTTGACAAACGTAGGAAAACATCTCGTAGCTTGAAAAATGAAAAATAATGAAGCAAAATAATTAAACAAAATGCCTCTTGAGGGCATGAAGTGACAAGAACTTTGTAAATTGAAGCTGATCTTTACTCACAGCATTAGCCGCACACCTTTAGTTAATCTGCCAAAAAGGCCACATTATTAACCCGAAAGTAGAGATGTCCGGATCCGATCACGTGATCGGGGATCGGAGCCGATCACGTGATTTTCAAAAGATCGGAATCGGGAGAAAAAAATCGGGGATCGGAATTTTTTTTTTTTTTTTTTTATAAAATATTTTTCTTATTTTATTTAATGTTACAAAACAAAAATGACCATGTTCACGTCTTAAAGTCATCCTGAGGCCTTAGTTTTGGTTTAAAATTACACAACATCATGTATGTGTTGCTTCTTTTGGGCTTGTTTTCATAGACATGGTTGCTTATTTCTCTCAAATCTGGCAACAGAGTGGGCAGGGCGCAGTGTCTAATAGTAGCAGTAAGCTAACAAGAGGCTACGTTCAGCTGGTGACTCGGGAGTCGGGACAGAGAAAATGTCAGGAGTTTGGAAGTATTATAAAATTGAAAGCGAAGGCAGTGTAACAGCCAGATGCAATGTTTGCAAGGCGGAGGTTCCGCGT